TCCGCCTCAGTCTTCCAAGTAGCTGGAACCACAGACGTGTGCCCCTTGCCAAGCTAATTTCTTGATTTATGGTAGAGATGAGGTCTTGCCATGTTGCTTAGGCTGGTCTTGAACCCCTGGGCTCAGGCAATCCTCTCACCTCCATCTCCCAAAGTGCTGGAATTATAGACATGAGCCACCATGCCCAGCTAACACATGGATGCATTTCAGACACTCACCAGTCTTCCTGCATACAAAGACAGACTTTCATGATGCCTCATGAACAGCAAAGTTCACTGTTACTGCTGCTCTGAAGGCTGTGGTAAGCAGGCCAGTGCTGGGCGCAGCCAAGGAGTAAACACACAGCAGCTTAACAAGTACCCAACTGGCAGGTTTCGAGAAGGCTCAGGTCTCATCCAAAGGCCCTCTGCAATCATTCCACAACTATCCTTTCACAGGAAGTTCAAGGTCAAGAGTCAAGTTCTACAATCATGCTGAATAATGACTACCACCTGCAAGGGCTTCTCGGTACACCTATACCCCACGTATATATACACACACATAGAAACACACAGATACATCACAGTCACATATGGATACATACACAGACATACACGGCACACACTCGCACAGATAAGCACAGAGACACAGACCCCACAGGCACACAAACTCCTAGGAAGACAGACACTTACATAGACACACACAGAAAAGTCCAGAGACACACAAAGAGACATATACGACACAGACATACGGACACACAAGCACACATAGAGGTATGTACAGTCACACACTTACAGACATAGACTCATACACACAGAGGCACATGAGATACACTGCCAGTCACACTGACACAGTCACACACACAGACATATGGAGAGGGACAGATACACAATTATGTAAACCTATGCACACAAGCCCAGTGACACACATGCTACATGGACACACACATACACCCCTCACATCCTCAGCTCAGAAAGGTACAGCCAGTCCCGTCTCAGTTCAGCACCACCCTCAGGCCACTCCACCTCATCACAGAAGCTGCCACAACCAGGCCTCTAAAGTTCCAAGGCCCCCTCCACAAATTCAGAGCCCTTTCCAATCCCCTCCCATCCTGCCTCCCGCTCGCTGGCCCCCCCACCCCCCTCAGATCTCTCAGCACTGGGGACCCCGGGCCCGCGGCAAGGAGAAAGAGGGAGCAGGTTTCACCTCAGTTAAGCCAACAGATCCCAGAGCTGCTGATCCTACAGCCTCCCTTTCCTCCCAGATCCTGGGAAGATCCCTGGAAACTCCGGAAATTACCAGAAATATGAAACCCCATCTTCCGCCAAGCCCAGCACCACACACCTTCCCTCCGGGTTCAGGAGTTTTTTGTTTTTTTGGTTTTTTTTGAGTTGGAGTCTCACCAACACACCCGGCTAAGTTTTTTATTTATTGTGGAGAAGAGGTCTTGCCATGTTGCCCAGGCTGGTCTCAGACCCCTGGGTTCAGGCAATCCCTCACTCACCTCAGCCTCCCAGAGTGCTGGGATTATAGGCGTGAGCCCCCGTGCCTAGCCCAGGCCCAGGAGTTTTAAAACAGCACCGAGGCCAGCTCCACTCTGAACTGCCGTCCTCAAGGCCTCTAATCGTCCTCCTTCCCAGAGGACCCTGGAAGCCCTGCCAAGGTGAGCGCTTCCTGCCGAGGTGAGTGCCCATTCATCACAGCTTCAGGGCGTGTGTGAGTGTGTGTGACCCCCGTGTGCAGGGCTGGCCGGGAGCACTTCCTGCCCTCTCGCCCTCCTGCCCCCTGCATATAACCTTTGGCTAGAGATCCTCCCAGCCCCGTCCTCCTCCTGGCCCAGCTCCAGCCTGGGGCAGTGCCTCCCTTGTGGGCTTCTTCTGCAAACTGGCTCCGTGTCTCTCCCAGGACTTTTGTTCCCTTAGCAGAAGGAAAGGCCACAGGCCCCACCTGATCCCCTCGGGGCTGCCTGAATGTCAAGTTTCCACACCCCTCTCCCTAGCTTGCCCCTCCTCCCCAGCTCCTTACCCTCCCACCTGCCACTGTCCCCTCTTCCTCCCAGAAGGGTTCACCAGACTTCCTGGCTTCCTCCTGCCCTTGCCAGTTCCCTGCTGCCCCCGACAGCATTTGGGAGGCCAGGTCCCCGGCATCTGAGCCTCAGCCACGCTCCCGCACCCTCTCCCCTCTGTCGGCTCTGGTCGCTTCTTGCTCCTCCTTGTCCTGCCCTCTAGGGAGAAGTCTCCTCTAGTGCCCTTCTCAGCAAGACTTTTCTAAGCAGTCTTTTCGAGGACTTTATCCAGGCTTCTATGACCTTCACTCCGTACCCACTTTCCCTCCAGAACCTTTCCGTGGGGATGGCTCTTTCCAATGATCTCCTCTCCGGGTCGCAGGTCAATCAGAACCCAGGAAACCCTACCTACCTTTGCTCTATCTTTGACGCTGGAAGCCCTGCCTTCAGGGCCTAAGGACACCCTGCCTCTAAGGTCTAAGGTCTCCTCTGGGGAGCCGGCAGTGGGGAGAGGGAGAGGGAGGCTGGGAGACCTGCTGCAGACTGGCCTTCCACGAGAGAGCCATCCCCTCCCATAATCTCAGCAACTCCCAGGTCACACACAAGGTGTCTGTATCCAGTTGCTCTCTCCAGTCCCCTCCCCCTTCAAGCTGGTCTCTCCTCCAGACCTTGGCTGTTGTGGTTCCAAAATTCTAAGCTAGAAAGAAGCCTAGTTGGTCCTCAAAGATTCAGCCCTCAGGCTGGACCTAAGGTAATGAGTTATCTCCACCGATGGTTCCCAGGCAGCTATGGATGGAACTCCTCATTCTGTTCTTTGCCCCATTCTCACTACTGCACTTGACTAGTCTTAAAAAGATTTGGCTGGCTCGGTGGCTCAGCCTGTAATCCCAGCACTGTGGGAGGCCGAGGCGAATGGACTGCCTGAGCCCACGGGTTCGAGACCAGCCCGGGCACCTTGGCGAGACCTCATCTCTACAATAAATCAAAAATTAGCCAGGCACAGTAACGCATGCCTGTAGTTTCGGTTACTTGGAAGGCTGAGGTGAAAGGATTGCTGGAGCCCAGCAGGTCAAGACTGGGGTGGCCGTGAGTGTGAGTAAGAGTGAGACTCAACTCAAAAAAAAAAAGATTCAGCCCTAATACCCCTGGGAAGCTCCCTTGACACCCCCACCCCTCACCGGGCTAGGCTCCTTTCCTGTTTTCCCACCTTAATAGTGGTCTTCACACTACACTGGAGTGGATCATTCCCTGTTTATGAGCAGGGACCTGTTCACATACCCCCACCCAGCCTCTGGCCAAGCTCAAAAGAGAATATTAACATGACCCACCTGTGTTCCCCAGAGGGCAGGCAAGCCCAGGACCAAGGACGACCCAGCTTCCGGGCAGGCAGGTCCATTCCAGAAGACTCAAGCAGGGCAGAGAAGAGATAAGGGCAGGGCTCCGGCTTTACCTCTGCCCCAACAAGGAAGTGGTCTTTTCTTTGTACTGGGAACCATGAGTCACAGTCACTGCCTGTGGGGTGTGAGACAAGGAGGGAGCCAGCGTCTAGACACCTCATTCTCACTTCCTTGGACTAGGGGTGAAGCTGGGCCACAGGGGCCGCCAACTTCCACTCTCAGGGATCCCAGGCCCAGTGAGACCAGCTTCAAGGCCAAGTGGCATGAAGCTGGGTTTGGGGGCAGGACGAAAGTTTGGATGATATTTCTGGTC